GACAATTGGATTAAATAGAATAGCTGGTTATGAACACTTAAGCATTCTGTGGCAGAGGAGTTTATGTTTAATAGAATTATAAAAATCAGATCAGCAGGGCTTGTTTTTATGCTCCATCTGCCAAGACTAGAAATAGCTTTGATACCTATTACTACCTTAAACTCGTATTAGCATTCCATCCCCTGTCAATATGAGTAGACAGAACAAAGAAAAATAAGATCAGAATTTTAGAGCTGAAATAAATCTTAACTACTGTCTAGTCCAACCTTTGTTTTCCAGAATGCGCTTGTATACTTTTTTCTTCCCAGTGGTTCTTTAACATAACTCACACAGATAGTGATAGACTCTAACTCACCTAAAACTTAAATTATTTACCCTAATCTTGTACTGACAAGTTGCCCCAAATATCAGGCAACTAAAAATTATAGTATGGGCAGATATGCTGTTTAATATATAGGATAGTGGTTGTCAGACTTAACGGTGAATAAGCTTGTTTTTTGAAAATGCAGGCTTTCTTGGTTTCCCTCCTGAGATTTTGAATCAGTAGGTTTGGGATAGGGCCCAGGAATCGATTTTTAATGACCTGGTGATATTTGAGGTAGGAATGACCTGGGGCATTGCCCCTAAAATCTGATTTCAGGGAGTAAAGGAGAGAATAAAGAAGTGAAGTTAGCACTATTTATCTCTAATGCCTTATGTTGAGTTTTAGAAAAAGAGTAAAAGGCTACTTGGGCACTTGTTTTTCTGAAGAATTCGTTTCCTCCTCACATGATGTAGAGGCAGAGGAGAGAAGGGCAGTCATTATATTTGTTCCTCTGTCATGAGAACCTTAGGGTCGTTGTGATCAAGTCACTGAATCCATCCAGCTGCGTGGTACTGCCGGTGACGAAAGAAATTCTGTTTTGGTCCAAGTGAAAGGAGTTGAGACGATTTGGACGAGATGTTAGTTTATCGCTGCTGAGGTGCTACTGAAATTGAGCAGAGACTACTAGAACACTCGGTGTACATGGCACTGACATGAAGCAGTTTCTTCTTTAGCAACTGGAACATTCTCAGACGTAGCCTGGTGACATGTAGGTGGTAAGTGAATATTCACATTATGGTGCTGGTTGGTAGGTAGGTCAAGCAGCATGTGGGTTAGGACGCATCCTGTGGAGACCGTTTTTAATGCATCGTTGTAGCTACCTCAGTAACAGGTAGGAATAGGAATGTGGTGTTAATTGAAAAGAAATCATGTAGTTATGAAACAATAATGAAAAAATTAAATAAAATGAAAATATTTAAATATAAAAAAAAAGAAGAAAGAAACCACTTGTCTTGAAAAACGCTAGGTGCTGCTAAGAGAAAGTTCATGCCTGACTAGCTTATGCCAGGGTTTGACTATGTCAGTATAAAGCAAATTCATTATTAAGAGGTGGATAGTAGTCTAGGAGAAGGGAATATAGGCAGAAAATGTTTAGCAATTAAATAATCCACACCTTGGAAGGCTGAAGGACAGGAAGCCACAGAAATCATGTTTTTTTCTTTTAAAGTAATTGCAAGTAAATTTGCAAATATAATGCCAGTTTTGTGGTTTTTTTAAGTGTGTAGACGTTACTTTCTTCCAAGTTCTCTCATTGCTATTAAAATTTTTGTAGCTATGTTAGAGATGAGAAAAAAGGTTGAATTTTCTGGGGTTCTGATTCAATTATAGGAATTTGATGTGAAGAGCATTTTTGTAGTGTAGCATGTGCAAGGAGGACAGAGATATGACATGTAACATCTGTAAAGTTACTACTAAACTCACAGAAGGGACCAAGTGTGGGTATAAATGGGTTTAATAACTTGGTGTATAAGCCTAGGGCCTTAGTTACAGCTGAGTGGGTGTGTCATTTCCGCTCCCGTGACCTGCTTTTATCACTCACACCCTAATAAAAACTGCTCCATATATGATCTAAGAACTGTTAAGATATGGAAAAGGTTGAGTAAGCCAGACTTAGAAAACAACATCAGCTGTTAGCTAGGTTTAGGTCTCACGTGCATAACTGTATATACAGATGTACTTACTTTTACACAGCAAGCATCTAAAAACCCCTACGTAAATTGGTTACTTCGGAATGTAAGCAGTGTAAATAAAACCTGCGGTGAGTCCTTTTATTGTTAAAAGTCAGGCAACACCAACCTAACCTGTTTGTAAATTTGATTCTGATAGTGGGCTCTTTGAAAGTGTAACCTGTATATGCATATAGATTACGAGCATGCATATATGGTCAAAACCCTTTACAAGCTCAGCTTGCTTTTATAAACACCAAAACTCACTCTACCTGTAAAATGTTTTTGCTAAAGTTTATACCTCTGTGTATGAGATACACTACCAGGATTATCTCTGCATAGAGATGTTTGTAAACTGCCTTCTTTCCCCTCAATAAATTAGTTAACTTGAAAAAAACATGCGACCGTTTCTATAAAATCAGTGTTCATAAAACAAACCAGCATATTCAGCTTAAACAGAATAAAATTAATTTATTCTACTTACACAAGGAATTTCTATTTTGTAAAATTGTAGCTTGTATAACAGAGAGTAATAAAATGTGGTGTAAGAAATAAACTGTTGAGTGGGTTTAAGTGATTATTCCGAATATATTTACTTTTTTAGTGTCAACAGTTACTTGAGGTAGCGGTGGAAGGAGGTACAGAGATGAGGTTAACAAGTTTTTTAAATTGCGGTAGGAGTGTGTTGTCCTATTCAGGGAGATATGTCAGGAATGTGACATAGGACATTTAGACATACTGAGCCCAGCAGCACGATTTCTTCACTTCTCTGCTTGCGCAACAGCAACCGTCACATCTGACACCACAGCAGCCCTTCCAGTCCGAGTCAGAAAACCAGCCGGGATGGCTGGAAGGATTGGTTTGCACAACCAGTGAGAAAGAGGAGCTATAAGATAACACAGCATATATATGTCTGTTCACAGTCAGGATTCAGCACGCAAACCTGGCTATTTTGGCAGCTTTTGGACTGGCCTTGGTAACACGTAATCTGAGGATGAGACCAGTTGGTGACAGGTTTGTTTTCTGCAGTGTCTTCGCTCCCTTGGCACACTTGCTCCATCTCTTTCAAAGTAGGCCTTGGTTTCCTGCCTTGAACACAGTTGGCGTCTTCTGTCATTCCTACCGTTCATCCAAACTTGAGTTTTTCCCTGCCCTTAAAATACCGGGTGTTTTTTCCCCTAAATTGACATCTGTGAGTCTTTAGTGACTTTTGAGAATACAACATAATTGCATTATCTATTATGAAGTAAATTACCCACCGCCTATATTTTCATTGAATTAGGGTGCTTTGAAAGGGGACACCTTTTCAGGAGGCAGCCTTCCTTCCCTAATGATATGCTCTCTTCCTTGTAAGCCTGGTACCTGCCCGCTTGAAAAGCTACTGAGGTGACCCACATAAAATAGAACCCTCACCGGCCCTGGCCTTCTCCCTGCCCCATCCTTGCCGGAAACCTTTCACTGGTTCCCTATTTCTTACCCACCAAATTAATCAATTCGGAGCTAACATGCAATGTAAGATACAGCTTCTGCCTACATTTCCATCCTAATAGTTCCTCCCTCAGCCTGATGCTCAATTGGCCTGCTTGTACCCTGCAACTTCAGTTTGGCTGTACCGGACCGTGTCACTCTGTCACCTTCACGTGGCTACCTCCACTCATCTTCCAAGACCTAGCAAAGGCCTTCTTTCGCTCCCGTCTTTATCAAGGTCCTTGGTGTGTCTTTCTCTGAAGAGACCACAAACTCTTGTGGGCTGGGATCACTGAGTCATTTTTTTTATTTTTTATTTAGTTCTAGAAGCAAGGACAGGGCCACAGTGAGGTGGGAGATGGTGTGTGGAACCATTGGCAACTATTTGCTTAGTTAATAGAGTGACAGCCATTTCAAAGACTAAACCTATCAGCTTCCTGACTGCCCGAAGTGGGTGCTGCCTGAGACTAGTGTGACTAGGCATTACAGTGTGTGTGTGTGTGTGTGTGTGTGTGTGTGTGTGTGTGTGTGTGTGTGTGTGGTGCCTTCATACCTTTCTTTGTCTGCAGAGGCCTAGCTTGCTGTCTATTCCATTAAATGCAGGCATATGAACATTCATCTGATAACCAGGTTTTAAAAATTCTGTTACGATTTTACAGACAAATTGGCAAACACTGAACGTACAGGAATAAGGTATTTAGAATATGAGACTATAGTGAGACAGTGGTATCAGGACGTTTCCGTCATCTCTGAATCCTTGTTTTGGAAAACTTTTCTATTTCCCTTAAGAAAGTTCTTTACCTCTCAAATCGTGGGATGCAAAACTAAAATGTCAGCAATGTGAAGCACCTGCACATACACCTTCCTGACCTATAATAGTATTTCCGTTTCTAAAGACAGTCCTTGTTCCCGTCAGGGTCCCTGAGAGACTGTGTCACTGTAAGTAAATAAGCCATTCTCCTCAGCCGTGTCTGCCCGGCCGCACTGTCAGCTGGTACGAGGCAGTAACTAATTGGTCATGGGACTGCGCCAGTGGCCCGATTGGTACCACAGAGATAGACATCATTAAGCGGCTTCATGCCCAGGGACCTCTGACTGACAGCAGACTGAAAAGAGTGTGAAGACCTGCTTTTCAGGTTGTCAATGAAAGCCCTCTTCCCACCAGTCTGATCTGTCTTCTCCACTTTCCGTCTTGATCCTAATGCTCTTTTTCTGGCGGCGACTCAATGTAGGGCAGCCGCCTGTTTGTCACATGCCAGCACACTATAGATACAGAACCTCCCATGAGCTGCCTGCCCCACTGACGTGTGGAGTGTTTACTCAGGTCCCACTGTATGTCCTGTGTTCATTTTCTGTATGTCTGTTTATCTGGGAACTCAGGACACATTTGCAAGGCAGGGAAGAACAATAAAGGTTAAGAACAGTTGAGGAATTCTGTGCAAATGACAGAGAGCAACTTACTTAGTGACTTGACTGAAAGGAACTCAAGCGTACAATTGAGATCTTTGACAAATGGTGAGTAAGTTTTCATGTTTATTTCAAAAGAGCTTGGGCAGCAAGTCGTGTAAGCAGGATTTATCGGGAAAGCAAATAAAAAATAGCAACTAGTAAAAGGGTTATTACGGCATCTTTAGACTACCCTGTCAGTACATTTGCACGTGCCGAATAAAGTTCTATAAAGCAACTGGGAAATAGTCTGTTAAAAGTGTCTCAAAGAACATCACTCAGACTGAGTATTAAATACTTTGCGGTCCCTTCAGCATCAAGATTCTTCATACTTGGGTTGTCTCTCGAGATCCTGCTTGCCAGCACCTGGTACCTGAAGCGATTTCACACCATCGCCAAGATGCGGGCCACCCACCAGGCGCATGGCATGATAACTCTGCAGGCTGAACGGCAGCCCTGATAGTTATAGGGCCACGGGTGGAAGCCCCCCAGGGGCTCACAGATCTGCTGACAGTGGGTGTAGCTCCGCCTGCATTCTATGCAACAGATTCCTTCGTGATCCAGTCTGGGGTCGAAAGTCATGCCTTCCCCTTCCTGCTGCTGTGACAGAAAAGAGAATTATTTGTGTTTTCCTCATAATGAGAAGTTGGTCACACACACATTATTTTACAATAAGATCCTGAAAATTTCACTGCTTCCAGAAACCAGCATAATTTTCTGCAAGGAGTTTTGAGAATTCCTTCTAACATCCAGGCACTTCCACCTACCTAATCTGCCACTGGCAAGAAGGGGTTTTTCTGTGTGTGTGTGTGTTTTTTTTAACGTTATGGTAACGTTACTCCATGCCTTAGAATAAGCCATGGTTACCACTCCATAGTGACTCATCTTGTTTTAAATAGGCAAACAAAAAGGAAGCAGGATTCGAAAGAATTTCTGTCACTGCTAGTTTTAAGTCGGGTTCACAGGTGCCTTTTTGCAGAGATGGCTCCCAGGACTCTTGGGAGCACATTTTGAAACTCATTGATCTAGGCCAGGGTTGGCAAACTGCGGCTCGCGAGCCACATGTGGCTCTTTGGGTATGTTCTGTCTCAAAAGTTTGCCAACCAATTTAAAAATTATTCGAGAACCATAAATATATTTTTACATAATCACCATTATGTGAATAATATGCTTTAAAAATTTTATAAATGAAACTATGATAGTTTTATTTTCATTTTCAATTTTACTTCAGAGCCACATGTATGTACCCAAAGAGCCGCATGTGGCTTGTGAGCCGCAGTTTGCCGACCCCTGGCAGCTCTTCCGTCTCAAAAGTTTGCCGACCCCTGAGCTAGGCTGACAGATGGCTAGTTACGCTGCCTGAAAACTGCCGAGTCATGCAGCTCCTGCCTTCATTTCAACGCAGGGGTCTGTAACGCTCAGGAAAAGGCACCATGTAACGTGTAAAACTTCAAGACCTTAAACTTGACCTTGTTTCTATGTGTCATAATTATAGTTACACAAAATCATATTGAAGTAAAAATCACCTACAAACTGCATTTTTCACTGCTGGAGAGAATACAGAACTGGAAGGAACTTACCCCCTACCAAATGGACACATCTGGCTTCCCCTTTTATGAACATCTAGAGGTATAATTTCCGTGACCTCTTTAATATGGCTTTGAATTACGTTGCCCAGAAGCCCTTGAAGTAAATCCTCGGTTCAGTTTAAGCCCCTTTCCTGGAGGTACCTGACCGTAGGCAGAGGCAGCCAAACAGGCTTGAGCAGAGTGAGCGGTCACCTTCTCTGGTACAAAGTCTTTATTTTGGAGGGGAGGGGAGTGGGGTGGCGTTTTTACTATGAAAATTTCAAACATACTGGAAAGTGAAGAAAATTGTGTACTGAACATCTAGATTGGACAATTCCTAACTTTTCAAATCTGCTTGGTTTTTTTTTGTTTTGCTTTGCCGAAGTATTTTGTAGTAAATTCTGAAGTGAATTTAATGAGAATTGAAGGTATTGTGACATTTGTCCCATAAATACATCAGAATGTCCCTCCAGAATAAGAATACTTTCCTATATGACCACACCGCCATTATCACACTTAACAAAATTAACAGTTCCTTCACACTGTCTGGTACAGCCTGTGTTCGGTTTTTGTCATCACAGTATTTATTGTGTTACGCTTATACCATTTTTTTATTTTTCAGACTCTCCCCCCCCCCCTTTTTTTTGCTTATCTCTTGAAATAGGTTCATCTGGGATAACAAAAAGAAAAATGCCTCATTAATAATTGATTCTTCAGGGGCAGGGGGAGTCAAACGCCTGTTGATTGAAGTATTTCTTTCTTTCTTTTTTATGTATTTCTTTACCTGAGGATTCAACAAAGCCTTGTTAGGTTTAAAAAGTTGGGAGCAAATCTCAGGTTGTTGCTCTAAGATACTTCTTCAAAGAAATATGTGAAGGACAGATCATGGGGAGGTGTTTCTGCTTAAAGGTGAACACAAAATAAAGGAAAAAAATTGATGTAATTGGAGTTTTTTAAAGAATATAGTTCACTCAAGGCTGGACGCGAGGCAGACAAAGTCACCCTGCCCATCTGTAAAGGGGCTGGTGCCCTCGTCCCTGTAACCAGATGCAGCTAGCCCAGCTACCTGGGGAATAAATTATATTAAATTTCCAGTTTGCCCATTCAGATTTTATTTCCCTTTTGTTCTTTGAGCTTTAGGGAATGGAGTACTGTGGGATCCTGAATTTTCTGATAAGCTTCGGGTTATTTAAATGCTTTTTGCTCCAAATCTTTCTAAAATTATTACTCTAAAATGATAAACTAGGAAGTGTATTTGCAACACATGAAACAGTATAGACCCGAAGAACTTACATAAGAAAAAAATACATAAACGGCTTCTCTGTGCATAAAAAGATGCTCGACCTTATACATAATTAAAGACAGGCAAGATAAAACAACCAGGAGATACATTTTACACCCAAAACACTGGTAAAACTTTTTTAAAACTTTGATAATAAATGAACCCTTTCATTACTATTTGAAGACATGGAGCTGGTATAATTTGGTATCCTCCATTAAAATGTAAAATTCCCATCTATCGTGACGCAGCAGACCCCAAAGCCAGTATTTATGCTAAAGATACATTCCCTCACGTGTACAAGAAGTCTAATATGACTGCTAGCTAACACTGAGCGAATTCATGCTTACTGTGTACCAAGCACTATGCGAAGAACTTCACCTGCGTTACCTGGTCATCACCTTCCCATAACCCCCTGAGGCATGTGTGTGTACAAGCTCGTATATTATTAACAGCATTTGTAACAGCAGAAGACAGGGAAATGATTTACATGTCCACCAAAGAAGAACTAGTTAAATTTCTGCACATCTATCCACAAATGTAATATGTAGACATTAAAATGAATGAGGTAGATCTATATAGGAGATAGAGAAAAATCTTCAAAATATTATAACTGGGCAGGAAACAAGGTGCAGAAGTTTTGTATGCTCTTAGTTAAAATGCATGTGTGCGCGCACGCTTATGTGAAGAAACTGGGCAAATAACTTGTTAATAGGTTGCTCTGGGGGAGAGTGTCTGAGATGAAAGGGAAACTCACTTTTCATTGTATACCCTTTTATACTGTTTGTAAAAAATTATGCATGTATTACTTTTCATTTAAAACACTAGTTACCAATAAGTACTTCTTTTTTCTACTTCTAGTCCCTGTAAAGTATAGTAATGATAAATAATAACTTGTGGAAGATTTGAGAAGTTTTCAGCACGTCAGTGTCACCTGTACAAACAGCAGTTCTCAGTGTTCCCGTGTAAACTGTTTTGTCTATGACTGAGTCTGTCTCCAGATTGGACTGAGGACCCCTGAGGGCGGAAGTTACTCTGTCTGTGTGCACAGTGTCTGGCCGGCAGGCTCTCAACAAACGTCTGTTAAATGGATGAATAAAGCGGACATAAAGAAGGAAAGGGAATACTTTCATTCTGTGCGATGCCCCCAGGGCACACTCTTGGAAACATTCTTAAATAAGTTCCTGATACGAATTTGTCTTTATGGATTTGCCTGTGAGTCAAGAAAAGAAAGCACAGAAAATAACTCTGGGTAAGGGTTACAGCCAGTCGGGATTGTACGCTACAGAGGCAATCCTTAAGCGTCCTCAGTCGCGTTTATAAACCTTGCAAGAAACAATTGAAGAGGTATTTTTAAAATACTGAGTAAAAGTCTCAGTTGAATACTAAATGCCCTTCAAAACCTCCCGCAGAAACCCCAGCACTTCAGGGTATGCTCAGGGCGTTGGCGTGGACGCAGCAGGCAGACCCCATACGCACGTGGTAAGGGTTGTCAGGATTGAAGGGTTCTGCATCTTCCTGCACGCTGGGTCTGGTTTTGTTATTCAGCCTTCCAGGTCCCGGGTTGCTCCGAGGCCCGCTCTGCGGTCTCCTCGTGGTTGTAGGACTTTGTGTCACCAGTTCTCTTCTTTGTCTCTGGATTTCTGCAGACAGTGCTGTAAGTTAATTCCTTTATTTGAATAATTAAGGAAGGTCTGTGTTTATCGGGGTGAAGAACATAAGACTAGGACACCCAAACACAGAGATGACTAGATACCATTTAAATTTGTGCTGATGATTTTTGGAAGAATAAAGTGGGTTTTAGCGCCTGGGGTTAGTAGGTAAACATACAGATAACCAGGATTTGATGTTATAGCCCTAACTGACGCAGACATTGTAAAGTAGCTGACAAGAACCCATTCTTTGCCTGCCTCTGCTCTAGGGGCCGAGAAAGTAAATAAAATACCATTCGTTTCCCTGGCCTCCCTGGCAAGGAGTGCCCAGGTGACACACTTCTGGGACAGCTCCACATGGTAGCGAAGTCAGAGACTTTTGTCCTTGACTGGAAAAGTAGTGTCAGGGTGTTGGAGGAGTTGTTCCTGGGTCCTTTTCCAGGTGGAGGCAGGTGGGGAACTGAGCAAGAACTTGGCAAGTGGCCAGAGAATGATGCGTTGCGGCCACCCGCTCGGCAAGAGCAGCATGGCGAAGGCGAGGTCCCCTGTGTTGCGACAGACATCGCTCATGGTCTTTCTCACTGAGCCCGCATGTGGCCTCAGGATCCTTCTTAACCCATTCCCCCCTGCAGGCACGGCCGGTGGCTTGTAAATTGAATCCTTCTTGCCTGGCCTGGGCTAGAAAGTAACCATCTGATCCAACTCTGGGACAGAATTAGACTTGTGAACTGCAGGAATAAGTCAGCCCTGTAGAGTCAGAAGGCTGAACTTGCTACGCCTGGGGAGGTTTTCAAAAGAAATTGTGCTAAGATATACATAAAATGTACCATCTTAACCATGTGGCATAAAGTACATTCACATAGCTATGAAACCATCGATCTCCAGAACACGTTTTCATCTGGCAAAACTGAAGCCCTACACCCGTTAAACAATAGCTGCCTGTGCCACCACCCCCCTTCCCCCCCCCGACCCCAAGCTTGGTGGTTTTGATGCCTGTATTTTTTTTATTTCCATGCTGCTCTCTCTCGGTGTTCCATAAAATCTTTCAGAAAACATAGCCTGTCTCAGCCGTGCTAGAAGAAAGACCTTTTTTCCACACTTGAGCCAGCTACAGAGTGGGCCGTTGGGAGGCCAGTGGGGTGACGGTGGTGGGAATCAGTGAGTCCCCCTGGGGAAGGGGGGAGACCAAAGGGAAGAGCCCGGCCCAGGGTTCAGCTGCCCTGCCCCACCCGGAAGTAGCCGGCAGGTGTGCTCCAATGGAGCTCTGAACCCCAGGGGACTGCCACTGATTTTTTTTTTTTCACTGAACTTGGAAACTGAAGTTTGAGCCTTGAACTTGAAGAATCCCAGCGTGTGCCCACAGCTGCTTTTGGCCGTCCCATAATTCTAGATGTAATAAAGATTTGGTGGGATGACAGCTCCCTAGTCCCTTGACTCTATGCCTTAGAAATTAAAAAAAAAAAAAAAGTAAAATTGCAAAGTGCGAACAACTGAGATTGAGGGGCAGAGCGGAAAGTAGCGGGAATGTCCTGGATAAAAGCCGCAGGCAATGCAGGGGTGCCCTGACTCCCCGACCTGCTTCCTGCTGACCCGGCAGCTCGCTGCGCTGCTGGGCCCCTTCCCGAGAACACTCACTCTGCTCTCCTTCCGATTACTGGGACACTGGGACACTGCGCCCTGTACCCTGATGTATCCTCCTCCTCCCACATT